CCCCCCCCTCCCAGTCCCACTCCTCGACCTCCACCCTGAAGCGAAGGGTCCTCGCAAAGTAGGGAAGCTCAAAATGAGGCGGAGGTTTTTATACCATTCCTCCTTTTTCATGCATCCAGCATTTTTTGCAAGGAAGTGTTTTTCTTTTCTTTTTTTAATGCCGTCCATTTTGAGGGTTATTAGAAGCGGCACAACAGCCCTCGGCTTGTTAAGCCCCCTCCCCTCTATATAAAAAAAAAAGGAAGGAAAGCAGTGAGTAGTGCGCTGCAGCTTTTCTGGTTTGAAGGGAATCTATTGTGTTTCTAAAAAAAAAAAAAAAAAAAAGGAACAAATCTCAAAAACCTGTGAAACAGGAAAAGAAAATGGTGTAAATGAGCAGTTCTCCCACCATTCAGTTCCCTCCTCATACAGGCCATGAAAAGACGCATTATTGTGTCACAACACGGCGAAAGTAAAGAAAATTCTCGTGCTTTTTGTTTCCTCTGAATTTTGATAGAGGAGGAGGAGGAGTAGGGAGGAAAAATGGGCAGAAAGACAACAAGTTAAATGTTTTTTCTTTTTCTTTGTGCGTTTGATTGTTGCTCCTCCTCCCTCTCCCGAATCTTTCCTCGGTCAGTTTTTGTCTTCTCTCCCCTCGACGACGAGGTTTTTATCGCCCGTGACATGAGCAGGGGACAAAAGGTCGATTTGAGCTCAGACGGAAAATGAATTCGATAAAGATAGAAATAATATAATAATAGTTTATATGGTTATGAAGAGAAATGTCTTAGCAACTTAACATTTACAGAAAACACAAGTCACATTGGAGTTTTTTACAGTTTCATTCTTTCTCCCCCGTCTGTTTGTTACTTTATTAATATGCAAGATCAGCAACAACCTGGAAACCTGGTTGAAGGATGTGATGTGCATCAGGGAACAACCAGATGTTTTGGTGTGGATCCGGATCAGGGGCCAGATCCAGTGAGACAGAACATGTTTTTAAAGATTCATTGATTCTCCAATGAATCATTTATGGATCTTGATGAAAAAAATCAGACCTGTTTAAGGGACTGATGTTTATGAGTGTGTGCAATTTGGATGCTGTTGTCAAAGCGGACGTTTGCACTCCACTAAGACTAGATTATAATTATTATAACTAAAAAGAAACTCACAGGAGTGATGGAGCCCTGCAGGGTAAAACTACACAAGTTCAAAACCTGCAGGACGACGATCGAAGACGGTGCTGAAAGCTCGGCTCGGTTTCATTTAGAAAACGCTACAGACGCACAGGTCTGTGGTTTCCTTCACAAAGAGTGTCTTGTCTCGCTTTATCTTTTTTCATCCTGACAAGAAAACACCACCACTTAGCTGTTTGTGCTGTGTGTGTGTGTGTGTGTGTGTGTGTGTGTGTGTGTGTGTTTGCTTGTACAAAGAGGATGAATGTAATCGCCTTTTGCTGTTCTTAAGGGAGTCTGTATAAAACACCAGATTGACAGATGTTAGCTGGATTATCTGGAAAGAGCTTTGAGCGCTGGCCAACACCATCTTATATATATGTGTGTGTGTGTGTGTGTGTGTGTGTGTGTGTGTGTGTGTGTGTGTGTCCGACAGGTGCCAAGGAGATTGATATTGCAGCGACTCTGGAGCACCTGCGGGACCAGAGGCCAGGAATGGTTCAGACCAAGGTAACACACACCTGAGTCCTGAGGGGAGCAATGTATTTTACACTGGACAGAAAAAAAACACAAGTTCATTTAACACATTAACATTTTAAAGTTTTTTCTGACGTATAATTTAACAAAGAGTCAGAAGATACTTTTACAACATGAATATATTGTGGGTCCCCGTGTTGATGCTGAAATAACTGAGTTGTTATCAATCCTTTCAACCAAAGGATCATTTCAGAACCGAATGGACGGAGCGTTGCATGACAGTGAAAATAATCCGTTTATGGAACAATAAAAAAAAAAAAAAATCAATTAGATGAAATGAAATGTGTTAATTGAGTTTTGTTCTGTGTAGTTTTGTTTTGTCTGGTGAATCATTATTTGCAACTTAAGAACTAATAGAGGGACGTGAGGGGCTGCGTTGGCCTCGAGCTATTTTTAATTTTTAATATTATCGAATTATTTGCTTTGTTGGTTATTGTCTTCTGAGAGAGAGGAGCAGATTATATAACGTTATTCCTCTTTCTGCTCCTTTTCAGTCGAGATTGGACATTTTGTCTTTGTTGTCCGGTCAGTTAATGGACGGATGTCGACTTTGAAATGGACGTGTGTCTGTACGTAAACGGAAATGAGGGTTCGGACTTGGTTTTGGAATTAGGTTGAGGTCAGGGTTCTGGATAACTTCAGGAAAGTGTGGAAGGAAAGCGGGTTCCGAGGCCTCTGCTCTCCAGAGTTTAGTTTCTGTGTTTGCGTTTCCAAACTTTTCACTTTTCCTTTCCCTTCTTCTTTTCCTTCCTTTCTTTCTCTCACCACAGGATCAGTTTGAGTTTGCGCTGACGGCCGTTGCGGAGGAGGTGAATGCCATTCTGAAAGCCCTCCCACAGTAGGAAGGAGCAACTCCTTCTGACGCCCCCCCCCCCTGCTCTCCTCTTCTCGATGGTCCCTGTTATTCCTTTTTGTGTCCCCCTCCAATTCTTTCCATCCCTTTTCTCTTCTCATATTTGTGTTTTTGGTCTCACCTTTCCTTCCCTTTCTCTTCCATTCATCCCTTTGTTCCTGCAGCCAATCTCCATCTCCTCCTCCCCTGTTGTCTTCTCCTCCTCTCGTCTCCTCCTCTCCTTCCATCTTGGGTGAGGAAACCGTTGAATCAGTACATAGATATAGACCTTCCCTCTATTGTAACGATCCACGCAGCCTGTTTTCCAAAGTGACATTTCACTGCATTTAAACACATTTTGATAGATAAAAAAAAAAAAAAGATGTTCCTCTCTCTTCTTTTAATTGTATATTTACATAGTTTCTGTTTATTAGATGAACATTGACCTGATAGGCGTCAGTTGGGTAAAGCACGGTCGGCAGTTAGCCTCTTGAGCTACAATCTGAGATACGACGTTTTGACGACTCGTGTCCAAATTGAATAAATCAATTTACGTCATTTTAAAATATTTGCCGATGCTAAGTGTTTCAGCGAACTGACGCCGCTGATTGGTCGTAGATTCGAGTGAGTGTACGATGTTGATCATCATGTTTGTGTCACAAAATCGCATTCGTGTCTGATTTTTAGTGCCATGCTTTATTTCACTAAATCAGTTTTGAGTGTCACCCATCGGCGGGTTTATTTTTATTTTTTTCGTAAGATTTTAGTGGTGAAACATTATGATGCATCCCATTTATTTCAAAAATAAATAAGATGCCGAGATCGAGGATGAGATGAAATCGCATGGATATGATTATTCTGTTTTTTTTTTGAAGTCTTAAAATCCAAGTAGTAGCAATATTGTGTTTCTTCAACGCGAGTCGTCACCGATATTGTGGCTTGTCAGTGAAGTAACACTAATGTCTGCCTTAATAAAAACACAATAGACAAACTGGTAAACGTGTTTAGCAGCCTGGAAACGAGGCTTGTGCGTGAAGCTTCATTTTAAAACGGCCTCACTCCGGTGGATTAAAGGTTCGCTGATAACGAAGATGATATCAACACCAGTCCTTCAACAAATCATCGACAGCAGGGATTTTGTGCATTTTCAAGTATCTTTATGTGAAACTCCAAACTTGAATAAGGCCGTTATAAAGTGAAGTGTTTCCGTACTTTTACGATAAGCGGGGATAGTTTCGCGGTTCCTCTATGTAGCATTAACGGATGACGTGTACGTACGTTGTAGCTGAACCTGCATTTCATTGAAAACTAGTTTTCCCCTCGAACGACAAACTGTTCGGTTCTGTGTATTTATATTATTTAAACTGGTCTCCATTCACTCCTGCGTGAGATTAAAGTAAAGAAACTATTATCAGACTAATTACTGTTAGAAAATAATCCAGAGCAGCCTTTTCCTCCACTTTAACATTCAAACACAAGTCAAGCGTACATGCTCTGTATTTAAATGTAGAACAACACATCAGTGCTCGCTTAACTCGCCAAGCGGCCCGTTTATCGGACGGTGATGACGACGTGTGGAAAAATCACGAGCGTCAGCCTCGCGAAGAGCAAAGATGGATGACGTGCCTCTGCTTCCTCGCTTTACAGAACTGAAGCAAACTTCCTTTACACAGTGCGTCGAGACAATACAAGATTACAGAGAAACCCAACGTTTCCCACGAGCACTTTGCGACTGTGGTGAGAATAAAAAAACTCGACCTGACCGATCACAAGCCAGTCTCAGCTGTCAATCATGATCAGAAACACCTGAACAGACAGTGAGACGAGAAGAGAACGACCTGAAGTGACAGAAAGCTTTGAGAAAAAAACAAAAAGCACAAGATGGCGGCACGTGTGTTTAAGATATTTTGGCTTCGGGAGGAATTGGAGACGCGTCGTCCATCTTCATTTTCAGCCCAAGGTTCTGTTGAACATTAAACTGCCGCCACACTTCGGGCGAACGCATCAATTATCCAACGATGACTTCGGGAAACCGGCTTTTATTTCCCGCTTTTCTTTGACTGCCCGTAATGAACAGTTCTGAATATTTCATCTGTCAGATTCTTCATCTGATCTTATTCGAATCGTCAATAATATGACTCAAACACATTACGCTACTGTAGTGCATGGCTGTTCAATCGCCGATTCCTCGCGGTTTAACTTTCAGACTGCGTTCTGCACGAGGAGCTCCAAGGACCTGAACGGTGCAGAAAGCCGAGGATTATTAATATCATCTGTAAACTGTGCGGATCGCGGGTTAAGTGAGCTGGAAGGTGCTGCAGTGTCGTCATGATGCAACACTGCAGCAAGCCGGTGTCACGTTGTCGGAATCGACTCCTTTTTCCGTGACAAAATTGAAACAAGCTGCAAGAAATGCTCCCCCATCGAAGCTCGTTTGATGTCGAAAGGAATATTTCTTTTTCTGCCTGTTTAAAGAAACGGACTCGTATGTTGTGAAAATGTGGAAATGAGGGAAACTGCATAGAAGGAAATGACACGATCACTTCCTGCTGGTCATTTTATTCGTGAGTCAAAACTTCACTTGTTAGAATGGGCTTCTTTTTTTTCTTTTTTTTCTTTTTTGCAGTGATGTTGTGTCATTAGCCCGATTTCTCCGCCGCTGTTCTTTCTTTCTTTACCACGCTTCCATCAAGTATCAATAGATGGCTGGTCTGCTGCATTGCCACTGTACATAAATCAAAAAACGACAGAAGATATTTTTGTTCTCTTGGTGTAAACAGATTGTGAATAAAGTCTCATTGTCGATGCAGTATTGTAACGGAATCCACGACTTGTGAGTTTTGTGTCTTTATCCGAACTGGTGTCCTTGGACTTCCCTCATCGTGTCGCTGTTGACCACGGGCGTGGTCCGAGCGAAGGGCGCCTGAAGGGGTGAAAGCTGTTTCACCCGTTTCCCATAATTCGGTGATTTATTCTGCCTTTACCGACGAAAAGAGAAACATCCCACATCCGGCACTACGTCCTTTACGTGGCCTTAGTTGTTAGGCCATACATCCACTAGAGGGCGGAAGGGTGAGATCAAGTAGCTCTTAAATATTACTTCAGTATTTACGATGGATTGAAGCACCAAAAGAAACGAGATAAACGACTCTCCACAACTACGTCCACTAGAGGGCAGCGCTTGAACCTTTGGCTACACTGCCCCCCCACTGCTGCCGGTGGTACTGCCCCGCTTTGTCCGTGCACAAACACAGATAAGATGAATGCAGAGTCCAGATAGAAGCTTCTTTACGTGCATCTAACTTTAAATGAGCCGTAACCCGTCAGGTACGAAGAGATCCCACCGATAAAGCATCAACGACCACACGCTCACTTTCCAGACTGGTTTCATCTCGACGTCCAACTTCCCTCAACTTTTTATCCACTCATCCATTAAAACTTTTACAAGAACAGTTTCAGGTCAAAGAGTGAAATAAAGAAAGGTGCTGGGTCTGTTTTATTCCAGCTGGCGAACACCGATATATTTTATCTTTTTGTTTTTTTTCTAGCAGAAAGTTTGTGCAGCTCTGAAGAAGATTGCAAATACTCATTATTTTTTGTTATCATCATCATCATGTCATTTGCTGCTGCTGCTGCTGAGGCAGAACAATCACACACGGATACATGCATTTGCAAAAATGTGTTTTTTAAGAGCGAGGGGACGAATGTTTATTTTCTCTTTGACACGTAGGCACAATGGAGATTGTACGTTTGGGATTGAAAAAGGTTTTTTTGAGGTCATGAAACTCATTCAGCAAATAAATGACAGCGGGAACTTCAAAAACAAGTGAAGCAGGAAAAAAACATAATTACCTCAACGCTGTTTCTTCCCCCGTGTAGACACAAGTGTTATGAGCCTCACAGTGGTCGACTTTATTTTACATCCAAACAAGATGCCGAGCATGAAGCTATAACAGCCCCCACTCTGCCGCCAGTTATTCTCCCCTGTCGGCTAATGAGGTTCGCTGAAAGGCAGCAGTCGTGTCTGCACGGTTCGAAATCGTCCGCCGTTATTTGTAAAACCACAGAATAGCCGACCTGTTAATGGGCCGTCGTTCTTGCAGCGAGGAGAAATCAGAAAAGGGGTTTTTTTTTTTTGCAATTCACACACTGGATGCAGGAGTTTTGTTTTCTGAAATGAGGCGTCTGCATTTTGGAATATTTCGTCCGAACATGAGTCAGCGCAGAGCGTTCGTGTGCAGGCAGATATTGTGTGATTGTTGAGTGAGTCAATAAAAGACACACACACACACACAGTCAGTTTTATTTATCTGAGGGTTTTACAGAGCACACATAAAATAAAACTCGCTCATGAAAACACAGCTGTGTGGGAACAGGCTCCGGTCGTTGAGCCGTCGAGATCGAGGGACTTTCTAAAGGTCGCCTGAACGTGAAGTGCTGGAAAATGTTCGGACCCAATTTTTGGGACATTTTCCAGAGTTCGTGTTTCACATATGAAGAACGCAGCCGGAGATTGTTCGGGGTCAACAACAGGGAATTCAGGTGAGGGGTAGAGCAGCAGGAGGAGGAGGAGGTGGAGGAGGAGGAGGAGGATGAATAAATTCCACTGCAGAAATCCTGTGTGTTTGTTTACAGCTCTGGAAAAAGCTCTGGAAGGGATCATGATACCTCTTTTGTGCCCCCACGTCAAATGCTCTATGTTTTCGATGCGTCTGTTTCAGAGGATTTTCTAAAACGATGTGACAGTCAGGAGGTCGCGTCACTGGTGTGAACTCCTCAGGACGAAGGCGAACGAGGGGAAGTTTGAATGGTCTCAGGCCAGTCCCCGGATTTGTCTCATCGTCACGTCAGCGACTCTTTCAAAGAGGCTTGAAGGAAATTATTGAAATAAATTCTTTAATTTAAATCAGCCGTCAGATCTTTTCTCATTAGCGCCTCGTCCAATTGGATTACCAATGTCCACGGCCGTGACTCGCAGAGCGCCACTTGGTCCCGTCTCCCCCCCGCCGGGTTCACCCGTGGTGAGAACACTTCTGGTGTTTAGTTGATCGTTTTCATCGGTGTGGGCACGTGCACTGACCCTAATATCACCCGCCGTCACTCATCATTAGCACCTCCACGAGCACGCAGGCAATGGCGGCCCTCGCGGGGAATTTAACCATTTGCATAGAAAGATTGCCTTTCCGCCACGCGACGGGAAAGTGCTGTTTTGCATAATTAGAAATGATGTGCGTCTGCCGGGCCAGACTGACGTGTGAATGTGGGAGAGTGAGGAGGAGAACGGGACGGAGACGACGTGTGTCGGTGGACGTGACGGACGATCACAGATGAAAATAGATTCAAAGAAGGAGTTTAGATGCATTTGTACAGTTTAACAATCAAATATATCAATAAATTACTGTAACAGGTGTGTGTTGGAATATGCATGTGTTCCCTTTGAGTGTGTGTAGTGACAAGTAGATTAATAAAAACTAAATAAGTTTTAAATAACTTAAAATGTTAAAATTTGATGATTTTAATGTTATGTTCCACTTTTTTTTTAAAATATTAAAAACATTTTCAACTTAATTTCCAGACATGAACTCCAGACAAAATGTCCGACTTTGATTCTCATGTGAACATTCAGGTGAGGGGCGGAGTCCGTCACGTGTTCTAAACGTCATCAACACCTTAATGCACGGTTCATGTGTTCGCTGTAGAAACCTTTAAAAACAATAAACTCTCAGTGAGAAGTCAACTCTGACACGACGCACGGGACGGACAAGCTGATTTCTCCAGTCTGATGAAGTGAGCAGCAGAGCTGTGATTGGAAACGACTGCATCGCGGCCTCAACCCGTCTTTGACTCTCGAACAGCTTCTGCAGCCTCGAGCTTCTGAGAGTCGTCGAGACGTTGGCGACCACCTCCGCCCGTCGACCCGCAGCTCAGATCCACAGTAACAAGGATCCGCTGTGTGTCACCACAGAGCGGAACTTTCCTTCGATGCCATTTCGCAGCCAACCMCCCCCCCCCCCCTCTATCTGTCTCGCTCCGGTGGCCTCGGCGCTGGGAATGAAGAAGAGGAGGACTCCAAGTGATAACAGAGCCGGAGATAAGACGGACAGAAGAAACACACGCGCAACGAGCAGCGGCACGTTCAGACGGATGTGTTCAAGAGCTATTTGAGTCTGTCACAGTTGGCCTGCCACAGATCTGGGACACACACACACACACACACACACACACACACACACACACACAAGCATGCACCTTGCACAAACTTCATTCTCACAAGTGCACACAGGAGTCGCCACTGTTTCAGTCATGCACACACACTTGTTTCCTGCTTGTGTGTCTCTATGACTTTATCGAACACACGTGACAGCGTTCAGAGATCAGAGCTGCGACAGAGCAACTCCTCCGGTCTCTGTAAATGTCCGGCCGCCTGTCAGAGGACGGACACCTGCGGCCAGAAGTTCTTCATGTTGTTCTTTTCTATTTGTCGAATGCGAAAGAGAAAATGCAGACTCTCGACACCACAGCTTTACAGGAAGCATCAGCACCTTCCTCGTCCATGGAGGTTCCTCCGGCGCTGAAGTTCGCTGCAGCTTTCGGGGGGAAATGTGTTGCCACAGCCAGCTTTGCGTTTTGTGTTACGAATCCCGCAGACAGCGTTGTCCCCCGTCGATTTTTGAAAAAGTGTAACCACACTTGAGACGTTGCATCATCTGATGTAACCGCTGTAAAAGCTGATCTCTCGGGGGAAAGTGGAGGTGCTGTCACCTTCTATCAAGCTGACAGCAGAGACTTTGATCAGGCAGGGAGGAGGCTCTTTGATGCTGAGTTGCCCCCCCCGTCTCTTTTTCAGCTCATCTGGGGTTTTTTTAAGCGAACGTCCAACATGAAGCTAATCACGCTACGTTCACACGTCACATCCGACGAACGAGGGCGGGGCTCTTATCTCGCGGAGCGCGGCGCGGCTTCGGTTTTACTAGATTACCGATCGTCGCTAGCAGTCGACGATGAGGACATCGAAGAGGACACGTCGCCGCGCTCTGTGTCGACATTCCTGCGACGCTCAGGTGAGAATCTGTGAGATGAACTCACAGGAGGACGAAGACCCGAAGGTGAGTTTGACTTCAGCTCTGTGTTGAGGAGCTTTCAGGGGTTGATGTCATTCCGCAGGTTCAATTAAACTGGAGGCGGTGAAGTCATGAAAAGTCATTGCATCACTACGATGATGTAATTCCTACGATACGATCACGGTTTTTCGATCTATATACACTTTCATTTGTTTCTTTATAACTTGGATAGTAAGCAGATACCTGGAATAACGAACTATACACATCGTCTTCTATGACGTCACAAAGCTTTAGATTGCGTCTCTATTATTTGCGGTGATATCACAAGATGTGTTTTTGACCTTTGACCGATCTGCTCCAGAAGTTCATCATCTATAGATCTGGTCTTAGGGAGGACGACCACAGACCCACTCAGGGTTTTGTATGAAGTAGATGAAGGAGCAGTTCCTTTCAGCTGCAGGAGGAAACGTCTCGTGAACCGAGACTTAGAGAGTCAGAGGAAATCCCGGGACAGGAAGAAGCACGTGGCCTGGAGAGAGGAAGTTGGCGTGATGACCCACATCTGGATTAAACCGCTGGGCAGCCTCCCCAGTGATGGAGGGACGGACCCTCCTGTTGTTGTACGGGAGGGCGACGTCTCTGTTCACGCTGCCACTGCCTCTAATTTACCAAACACCAAACTGCTGTTCGTGAAGATGAATATAATTGCTGTGATATTAATCCCGTCCGAACTGATCCTAAAATCGTGAAGCTGCTTTGGCA